CTCCTCTGGTACACATGACAGGTGTTTATCTCCTTCTGTATACACATCGACATCCACATGCATGTATATTTGCATGTGTGAGTGTGGGTGCTCAGAACCACATAGGGAAAATGTTGAAGAATGACAGAATGCCTCTTATAGGGCTAAAGGCTATGATCTATGATTTTAAGGCTACTCTCTCCCCTTCCCCCAACCAATCTGTTTTAGGCCCAAAACCTTTTTGTTTTGTTTTGTTTTGTTTTTTGAAACTGGAAGTGACATTCTAGTCACTGATTAAAGGACCACTTGAGGTCGGATTGTTATGGAATAGCTTTTAATGACAAATCATCCCTGTGAGTTGTGTTTGCAATTTTATTTTAGAGAATTTTATTTTTCACTGTCCCAGGATGGCAAAAATGGAGTCAGACTCTCAGATTTTGCCCAAAACAATGTATTTGTATTGGACTCAATATCTTAGAGGCTCCATGCCAAAGGATGGATGGATGGATGGATGGATGGATGGATGGATGGATGGATGGATGGATGGATGGATGGATGGATGGATGCTTCTCTTTGTTCGAGGAAGGAACCCACCAAAGCAGTCTTCTCCGTAATGGTTACATGCATGGAAATTAACTCTTGGGGGCTTCATATTTTAAGCAGAAGGTGGGATCCTTTTCTATTATGTATTTCCTGAACAGAGAGAGAGAGAGAGAGAGAGAGAGAGAGAGAGAGAGAATTGGATTTCAATTGGACTCAAACTATCAAAGGGCATTCCTGCCATTGATGCACATCCTAAGATGCTTCTCTTTGTTCGAGGAAGGAACCCACCAAAGCAGTCTTCTCCGTAATGGTTACATGCATGGAAATTAACTCTTGGGGGCTTCATATTTTAAGCAGAAGGTGGGATCCTTTTCTATTATGTATTTCCTGAACCAGTAAATCTTTAAGTTTTCTAATTATCAGTTTCTAGAGTAGCTTATTTAGTAGAATAAGATTACTACTAATAGTGTTCTGCTATCATAAGTACCAGATAGTCTTACAACTGAAGCAAGCTTTATAATAACTCTTCAATGCAAAGCCCTTTCTGCCATGCATAAAATTTATAGACTTGATCTCCAATACCCTCTGTGCCACACACAGAATGCTAATGAAAATATAATGATTTTCATGAATCCATTGGCTGAAATCCTGTTGAGCAGTTATGTAAGAGGTGTAACTTTTAGTGGTGAAATATCATAAGTTAAAAAATCACCATGGGTTTTATCTGTTACATGCTGATCCACAAAGCTCAATATGCAAAAGTTTCTGCCTGTGGAGATTTCTTAATTTATGACAATTTGTTGCTAAAAATTAAACCTTTTGCATAACTGCACAGCAAGATTGTTGCAGGTATTTGTTGTGAACTTCCAGCTTGCATTTTGGACTGAGTTAGACAATAAGGCGTTGCTTCTGTGTCTGACCTCCAATGGATGCATCTCTTTTAATAAAAAGTAAGGACTTACAGATCCTGAGAACCCTTTGAATTGTTCAGAAGAAAACAAAAGTTTGACAAGAAGGAGAAAATAAACAAGGAGCTTTTTTTTCCCAAGCTGCCATGAAACTTCATTTATTTCCGTAAAAGGTAATTGTGACAAATTCGGCAGTTTTCAGGATTTATGCTACTAAACAAATATGTACTGTATACGATTATCAATGGGCAGACTCTTCATAAAACAGTTTCAAGTGTTCTTGTACATTTTTACTATAATACCAAAAAAGCACCATGACTAACTCTATGCATGCAGAAGGGCTTCTAAGCATATTTCATGAATATTCTCTTTCTCTAATAGTTATTGACTGAGTACTTACAGATGTATGAGGTTATATATACTTACATTTAGACATAGAAGAGTCAGATACAATAAGAGGGAAATGATGGAAGAGATATTAAAAGACTGAAAGATTATTTTGTTCTGTGTGAATGCATGCAATCCCAGCAAATGCTGTGCTGTCTTAAGTACTTTTGAGGTTTGAGATGTATCGTATCTACATCTTCTCAAGTGTTCCTTGCCTAACAGTAGAGAAATCACCTGGTTCTGACCACCACAGTTGTGCTGGAAGTAAAATTTTGTGAAACATACAGTAGGTGAGAACTGCTAACTGGCAACTTGTTCTAAACAGGAAGTGAGGGCATTTGGGGGGATCTGATGAATCACACCAGTAAGGTATCCCTTCCACTGAGAACTGCTCATTGATATTACACATTGTACTAAATTATGTTTTTTGAATGGCAATGATTTCCACAGCTTCTAGGGCCCTGTGTTGTTATTGATCCTGCCTATGGGAGGGCTAAAAGTGAGGAAGGGATGTAGGTGTCCCTATCCCTCAGCCCCTGACCTTCATGAATATAGGGGAAAGTCTGAAGACACAACATCTCATTCAAATAATCACAAGTAGAGATACTGTATTTGCTGAAGTATAAGACTACTTTTTTGCCCTGAAAAACATGCCTCCAAGTGGGGGGTCATCTTATACGCCAGGTGCACTTCAGTTGGGATAGACATAGCTGCCCATAGTGGCCTTCCGATGCTCGCCCGGTGCCCATAGTAGCCTCCCGATGCCTGCCCACCTCATTCTACATACCGTCCAGTATCGCGCGGTATCCAGCGCGGCCGCGGCGAGCATCAGCAGTGAAACAGAGGGGGCAGCCTTTTCAATGTGACCAGCCCGTTCTGCTCAGCGGGCAGCAGCGGTGCTCCGGCCTGCCCCTTGTCTACGCAGAGCTCACACATGCGCACTTGCGCACTAGTGCCAGTCACAGGGAGATGTAGGGGTGGGCCGGAAACGCTGCGGTCGTACAATGGTGACAATGAATAGCACCTTTTATTTGGTGTGTGGAAGGTGTGCGGAAGAGGGGGTAGTCTTATATGGTGAGTATATAACAAACTCTATATTTTGAGTGGAAATGTTGGAGGGTCGTCTTATACGCCCAGTCGTCTTATACGCCGGCAAATATGGTAGGTGTGAACCACAGATTCATTTATCGGCCAAACAGGTTTTGGCAGTTCAACACCCAGAGGTGTGAACCACAGATTCATTTATCGGCCTCCAATCGGTGCCTATTCAGAGGCAGCACCTGGAGGAGGTGGGAAACTGAAGTCAGACCACTGCCTCCGAATGGCACCCACCAGAGGAAGCAGGGCTTTAGAGCACTGAACGCCTGTTCAGCTGATTAACAAACTGGCACAAACTGCTGAACTGGCGGTTCATGCCCCTCTGTAATCACAAGCAGAAGCATCCCTCAATCCTTCCCGCTCAACCTGTGGAAGTCAAGGTCTGAATGAACAGAGACACTGAAACTGAGTGTGTATGCACACACTTGCCCGCAACACTTTTAACCTTCACGTGAAGAAGCTGAATGTCACTTTAGAGCTGACAATGTTGTTGTTCTTTGGTAAAACAAGAACACCCCAAACATATGTGCACACACCTGCATACGTAGAGTATTTTTCCCCATGAGATTAGGTGGGAAAAACTCATGCAGTTCTCTCTCTGTTTTCTCTGTAAATTTTGTCTTCTACTTCTCATTAACATTTGATCCAAGATAGCTCAGTGGTATTTTAGCTGCGATTAAAGTCTCAAGAAAAGATCCCTTGTTGTCTCTCTTTTTCTTTCTTTCAGTAATTTATCTTCTAACTACTTTGAGTCTATAAATCTCAATATGTGATGCTATCTAATTTCCACTCTTCATTTCTCTGCTTTTATTTTACCTTTTCAGAAGAAAGAGCAAGCTAACTCCTCCTTTAGTCTTACTCCTGCCTATTCGGTTAAGGTCAGTGTGCAGATATCATGCAAGGAAGACACGTTTTCTAGAGGCATATAAGTACTTCAGTCTATTCTTTATCCTTGTTGTTTGTTGCAGGGGCCAAAAAAAACCCTAAAAAGAGGGTGCTACGTTCCAGGGAAGGTTAGGCAGATATGCACACAACCCAAAGACATGGGTGAAACCTTTAATACACTGTGACAGAAGAGTCACAATGAGAAGAGCCTCCCTCTGTTTTCACTGGAGGCAGAAGAGCTGTGCTGTTTTGTTTGTTTCCCTTTGTCGTGATTTAGCAGTAGGTTTAAGATGTCATGTTTTGTTTTAATGCTGCTGTTCGATCACTGGCCTGAGCAACAGCTCTTCAAGCATAGAGATGACTTGATGCAGCATGCTCTTCTACAGAACAATATGATGCCGGGTGGATGAAAGGTGTGGGTGGGAAGATGTCTTGTTATCTCACTTACATCACTCAGAGTGGCAGGTTATCTTGACATGTCAAGGTAGCCTGTTGAGAGTTTGTTAACTCTCAGAAATTTTCTGAACTCCAGCCTGAGAAAATGACAGAAAATCACCTCCCCCTCCCTCATGATGGGTTGCATATTGTCTCAAAAGGTCTCTGTGGAAAACTGAGTACTTGGAACCCAGTCTTTGTCTTCCAAATAATTATTTGGTACCTGACCATTGCTTTACCTAGCCCAGTGTCGTCAACTCTGAGTAGCAGCCATGTATCTCCTGCTACACAAAACTATTGTCTTTTCCCTTTGTGAAGCACATATATTTCAGTAAACAAAAAATGAGGCGAATCACACAGGGACACAGGAAGCCCAGAAGAATTAACTGATCAAAAAGTTGGCAAAACAAGCCATCTAATGCATCTGAAGGTTGAAAGCTGGTGTGAGAAGACAAAACTCCTGTGACTTAGCCATGCCGTTTGTGCAATTTGCCTCCACCCTTCCAAAACAAAAAACAAAAAACAGAGTGCTTCATCAGAAATATCTGAATGCTTCACAGGAGGTAAAGACAACTTTTTTTGGCTTCTTGTTCTCGCATGTGAGAGTGAGACTAGGACAAATTTTCATCCTTAGATCAGAACAACATGGGCTGAGGGCAGAATAAAACAACAACAGAGAAATATTGCCTCTATGGTATGAATGTTGTATCACCGCTACTGTTTTCCTTCAACACTTGTGTGAAAACATGTTTCATTTTTCTGCAGTCTTGTTGGCCAAGGCACAGGAGGGTGAACGGCACCATTGTTGGCGGAATCTGCAGGCCATGCACATGCTTCGGTCACGCGGAGGCCTGCGCTGATCTCACTGGAGAATGCTTGGTAAGTGGTGATTGACAGTGCTGAGATCACGTCAGTATACCCATGCAATTGAATTAACTACCTCAGGGACCCTGGGTACTTAAGGAAAGAAGCTGTGATTTGACAGGAGAGATCTTTATATTGAACTGCTTCTGAAGTTAAAGAATCTCCTGGTAACAGGATAAAGTAGCTTCTGCGAATAAAGGTGAACAGGAAGGCTTCTTTACATTAGTTTGATAGCGACAGGCCTTACAAAAACTGGCAAGGAGAATAGTTCAACAGACCTCTCAATACAGGATATCCTACCTCTTCTCATTTCTGTTGCGGGTTTTAGGATATGCCTAGAGTAGCAGAAATGTAGCAGCAAATACTATTACAATGCAGCATGCAGGTTTGACTGTCTAGGAAGACATCAGTAAATCTAATAGAAAGAAAGTGATCGGGAGGGAAAAACACACTTTAGGATGAATGAAAGTTGCTTTTTCCTGATATGATCTGTATATTTGCTATAGCTGCCTACTAACTCAGCAATTAAATGCACTTGCGTTATCCAAAATAATCATGCCCAGTGCACTACTGTTTCCAGTCTGCTCAGTAGCTGTTTTGAATGGGTGAATTACGCTGAATAGACTGTTCTGATTAACTCAAGGGCATTTTAGTTTTATGTTGTCTGACATGGCATGAAGCTTGAAACAACATTTCTCATTTCATTAGTCTTGCAGAAATGCAATTTGAGCCACTGCCAATTTAGCTGGGTATCATACTCTACATTCCCTGGAGAATTCAAACCAACTCTGGATTGTGTGCACTTTTAAATGCCCATCACCACTGTTCTTTTCTTTCTCCTTCCAAGGAAAAGCTTCAGGGAGAAATCTCAAATGAAAATTTGGGGGTTTTACAATGGGGTCTGGCATTTGAAATTATCACTGGCCTCCCTGTGTTCCTCTCCACAACACAGTTAATGGTTCTGCACTTCTGAACAAGATAATTCAAATTGGTGGATTGGTGAATTTCTCAAACTGCTTTTTTCATGAATGCCTAAAATGAGTGCCTGAAATGATTCTCTTATTAATTCTATACTCGAACTTAAGTAATGCTTAGGGGGAAAAACATATGTCATGATAGTGACATTCTGAAATACTTCATTTAAATCTGGTGAGGGGGAAAAATCACTTGGAACATTTGTTTTTCCTCACCAGAGAATCTGTTTCATTGCTTTTTCATTTTAACCTCCTGATGTTAATGTCTCCTGAAAATAGTGAAGGCTTATAGCAAAATTGGCCCATTGCTTGAAATACTGTACTTAAAAGAGCAAGTCCACCATTCTTCTGGTGTAGTGGTAGGGTGTGACTGACTAGATATATTTTCTCCCTTGTCAAAATAATCTACCAGTCTTTGAGAAAGGATTGCATTGTTAATAACTGGTGGATTATTTTGACAAGGACGAATGTGTCCGGAAATCTGGAATAAGCGCAAGATTCTTCCACAAGCGAAACAATATCTTGTTTTCAAGCCACAAGTACCTGAAAACCAGGCCCTGTAAAAAGTTAGTATCTGACAAGACAGAAGGGCAAGTCCAAAGTGAAAATCTAGGGAGTAAAAAAAAGAATAGCCAGGAGTACTAGTCAGGGTCAGTTCATAAATCAAGAGTTTACCAGATCAATAATTGTCAAGGAGGAAGCATATATGTATTCAAGAAGCAGTCTAGATCAAGCTGCCAGGGGGGTGGGGGTCTATCAATCAAGAGAACAAGGAATACTGAGAGCCAAGGTGGACAAGGAACAGAAGCTGTTCTTTGCAGTACAGTGCTATTGGGGAGCTGTGTGTAGGCATCCTTTAGAGACTATGGTAACGTGCTCTGTATGGAGGACTAGGAACAGCGTCTAGTGTGGCTGATTGGACAGTGCCAATCCTTTTCACACTGAAGACAAATACAGTCTGTCTCTGTCCAGCTCCCTGATCTTGCTGCTTTCAGGACTGCCTTTTCACCTCAGCCTGCTGGACAAGGGTCTTTTCAAATTGGGAGAGGCCATGATGCACTGCCTGCCTCATGGCTTGACCACTCAGATGTCAAGGTTTCTCATCTATTGAGGTCCATTCCTAAGGCCTTCAGATCCTGCTTGCAGATGTCCTTGTATCGCAGCTGCGGTCTCCCTCTGCAGCACTTTCTCTGCACGGATTCTCCATACAGGAGATCTTTTGGAATCTGGCCATCAGCCATTCTCATGACATGCCCAAGTCCACGTAGATGTCATTGTTTCAGTAATGTACGCATGCTAAAAATTCCAGCTCATTCTAGGACTACTCTGTTTGGAACTTTGTCCTGCCAGGTGATACCACAAATGCATTGGAGACAATGCGTATGGAATGTGTTCAGCTTCCTCTCCTGCCATGCACGAAGGGGCCAGGACTCACTGCAGTACAGGAGTATGCTCAGGACACAGGCTGTATAGACCTGGATTGGCTGGTATATGCCCAGACAATGCGTATGTAATGTGTTCAGCTTCCTCTCCTGCCATGCACGAAGGGTCCAGGACTCACTGCAGTACAGGAGTATGCTCAGGACACAGGCTGTATAGACCTGGATTGGCTGGTATATGCCCCCAGCTTCTTATTAAGCCATACTCTCTTTGTGAGTCTAGAGAACATGGTAGCTGCTTTCCCAATACGTTTATTCAGCTCGACATCCAGAGAGAGAGTGTCAGAGATCATTGAGCCAAGGTACACAAAGTCATGAACAACCTCCAATTCTTGCATGGAGATGGTAATAGAGGGAGGTGAGTCCATGCCCTGGCCCATGACTTGTGTTTTCTTCAGGCTGATTGTTAGTCCAAAGTCTTGGCAGGCCTTGCTAAAATGATTCATGTGTTGTTGGAGGTCTTTAGCAGAGTGGGCAACAATGGCTGCATCATTGGTGAAGAGGAAGTCCCGCATGCATTTCAGTTGGACTTTGGTCTTTGCTCTCAATCTAGTGAGATTAAAGAGCTTTCCATCTGATCTAGTCCGGAGATAGACACCTTCTGTTGCTGTTCCAAAGACATGCTTCAGCATGACAGCAAAAAAGATCCCAAACAAGGTTGGCCTGAGGACACAGCCCTGTTTCACTCTGCTTCAGATGTCAAAGGGATCTGATGTTGAGCTATCAAAAACTACAGTGCCCTTCATATCCTCATGAAAGAACCTGATGATGTTAAGGAGTTGAGGTGGACATCCAATCTTGGGAAATATTTTAAAAAGGCCATCCCTGCTAACAAAATCAAAGGTCTTTGTGAGATCTATGGAGGCCACAAAGAGTAGCTGCCATTGTTCCCTCAATTTCTCCTGCAACTGTCTGAGGAAGAATACCATGTCAGTGGTGGATCTATTAGCT